ATATATATAACTAACTGCAGACAGTACTGTTTCGGCCTTCTGGGCCTCATCAGTGCAGTGCTAATGCTAGGATGGGGGAGAACCGAGACGGTCACCCCAAACGACCCAACCTTTGTGGTATCGTCTATATATAGTAATACCCATGTGAACATATACACATGGTACATGTGCAATACAAGTGGAATATTCTTGTTATTATTCCTACTACAACAAATTCATAACTATTACCACTGTTGTCAAAGACTTTTACCATGATTTAATCAGATTTTTGACAGGAAAAAGAAACTGACCAGTTGAAACACAAAATGTACACCGCACACTTTCAAAAGAGGATGCATCACACCTTGCCTGAAACAACAATTTATAAAAGATTATTTTTCTTTGAATAGAACACCAGATTTCTGAAACAATAGTAACTAAATATACAAATTTCTTTCAAATCTGTCAATCAATGCATTATCAAATGTCAGGTCTAATATCTGCAATAGCTAATCACATCAAGACTGACACAACTTCTGGTGAGTTTCATAATTACTCTTCAGCACCAAAACACAGGCAACCAGCAAAACTATTCACCACAATAAACATCTCACTGATGATTTACAAACCATTCAGAGATGACCAATAAAACCCACTAAAACAACATCTTACCTCCAGTCCTGTAGGGGATATTTTTAAATAATCACTCACATCATTGTTATTAAGCATAACATTAATACCACTAACATCAGCTATTTCATAAGAGTAGGGACGATTCTGTAGACAAAACAATTAAAAGTGATTAACATTAAACTAAGTCTGACATTGCTGGATGGGAGGCATACTGAAGAAAAAAAACTTATATCTGTATAAATATGAGATCAACTCATTTTTACATTACGGTAACTATAACTTAAAATCGGTAGAGAATGACACCAGTATGCCAGCAAACCACTTCACTCTTTTATGAAAATGTGAACTTGCTCTCACTTCACAACTCTCTTGAAATTGTGAACTAAAACTTTGCGGTTGCAACTTTGACCCTGATCTTTAAATTTATTACAAACAATGTACATCTTACCTTAAAGGAAACTAGAAATGTGGAGATAAATATGAAAAGACAGAGGAATTAATAAAACAAAACATACCAAAGAATTACTTAATTATTTAGTTAATTAATCTTAACCAATAAAAACAACAAAGCTCCCAGCAAAATTTTTTGGTCACCTTAGCACACACCAATTTTTTCAGAACAACTGATACTTTGCCGATCAAGGGGAAAGAAAAAGGCTTTGCCATTGAAAACTGGGGCAATGCTCATTAAGAATGACAACAGGAGCTCCCCTGGAATGAACAAGGAGAGCTGCAACTTTGAACGATTGGAACCAACAGTTGAAACAAACTCACATATATTGTCAAGAAGCCACTGGGAACAAAATCCAGCCTGATGCCTCTCAAAGTCTTTGCTTCCAAGCCATTCCTTCTCCAAATTTACTAACATTTCTGCTATACCAGAGTCCCTTATTGTAAGCTTGTTTTCACCTATTAATTTCACATAATGATTTGTTCTATTTGCATGTACTAATACTATCTAAACAATAATTAAATCACATTGAGTTATCATAATTATTACTAATGGATCATGTTTCAGTTTTAGAGATGTTTCATGATGGTGATCTTTTCTGCACCTGATAATGGAAAATTTAAGCTCATTCTAACATGCACAAAAAATTCTTCTTGATGTCAATCAATGTTTAAGTCATTTCCTTGAAAAAATTAAACAATTTCTGAGTAAACATGAACTTCTTGCTACTTAAGACCTTTTCATGCATTAACCAAAACTTCTTGACTATCTTTAAGTTATGACTCTTCTGAACTGTCATCAAATAAACATATAAATAAATAAACAAATATTACATCATTTGATTTTAGCAGCAATACATGTAAATCTAAAAAGTGGTTCTCAATCTCAAACATTTCAAGACCAAATTGGAAATTATAGACTGTTTCTGCTGATAAGGAAGGAAAATGGGACAACCTGTCGGAGACCCCCCTCGCAGAGGTGGGACAATAACTTTTAACAAAGTCAACCCATACGTGATACCAGGTCTGAGAAGTGAATCCAGTCTACATCAATACTGGGGGAAAGGGGGGGAGAGATGGGGGAGAGATGAGGGAGAGAGGGGAGACTGCTCTTAACATCATCCCATCTCTACTCTTGTTCTGAATGTTTTTCAACATTTTTGCATTTTGTATTCAGATAATCTATAACTGAAAAAAATTAATGTTCGCTGAAATAATAAAATGGTAAAATTATAATACTTGTTTGGGCAAATTTTTCCAGGGCTAATATTGAATTCAGCACCACACCAGGGTATTCAGCTGTTGTCTAAAAAAAACAAAGAAAACACTCATTAATATTGAATTTGCATTCATCAGACATTCACTGAGTCAAAATTGACATCTAACACTAGGAGACACTATCCAGCTATTTTATTAGATCCTTGATAGACACTGTTTGTCCATGATATTCCGTATTTTTGGTTGTGTGTTGGTTTGATTACCTTACACCCTTTGTTTTTGCAGTCAAGTGGAATCTGATTATAATGTTGTTGAAGCACCTCTCCTTACCAGTCTTTGTAAAAGAAACTCCAGAGCGCCTTGAGTCAATAATACAATGCTCAGAGGACCTTAAATTGAAAACAAATAATTTCCTAAACGAGTATGTGAAGATGAAGCAGTTTTTAATGTAATAGAAAAATCCAAGTCCCAGATGGGATTTGAACCCAGGACCCTCTGTGATCTAGTCAGCTGCTCTAACCACTGAGCTACTGGAGACTCTATGGTTAGCAAGGGTCAATTTGTGGGTCTGGACTTGAACCGCATTGTGCGGCTACACAGTCAAGTATTGATCAGCTCCTATGAAACTCACAAACAGCATCATGCTGTCATATTAAAGCATATAAAGATGCGGCCAACCAACCTCCAAAGTGAGCATGTGAAGATAAAACAATTTAATGTCATTAGAAAAAATCCGAGCCCCAGATGGGATTTGAACCCACGACCCTCCGTGATCTAGTCGGATGCTCTAACCACTGAGCTACTGGAGACTCTATGGTGAGCAAGGGTCAATTTTTGGGTCTGGACTGGAACCGCATCGCACGGCTACACAGTCAAGTATTGATCAGCACATGTGAAACTCACTAACAGCATCATGCTGTCACAATAAAGTATATCAAGATGCGGCCAACTAACCTCCAAAGTTAGTATGTGAAGATGAAACGATTTTTAATGTAATAGGTTAAATTGATAAATTTATTATTCAACCCAAATAGATGTTTAAATTTGCAGCAAATTAACTAACCAGCCAACTTGTCAGCCAAGCATGCCAAAACAACAGCCAAGTTCCGGCAAATAGAAGGTGTGAGCTCATTTTGACGATGATCTCTTTGGGTGTTGAATACAAGCTTTTTAAGGCTCTTGGACAAATTCAGCTTTGATGAGAGAGTTTGTATTGCATCCTTGAAAGAAAAAAAAGGGGATTCGAGTTAAGTTAAAGTCACTGCTTATGTTGTCTAAAAATAGCAAGTAAAATAAATCTGTCAAAATGTCATTGTCTCCTCTAGATATGATCTACACAAATGTTCAAGGAAATGACTGAAGGGGAATTTTGTGATAATTCATACGCTACAGTTTGTAGTTAAAAGGCAATTTGAAAATTTTAAACCAGACTGTTTAATATCCTAAAATGTATCTTACTTTTCATGAACACTTGAATACTATATTTCCACAGATAAGACAAGCAATTTTTTATTTGACAGTTGTGAGAAATTTCCAAGACAGCATTTACCCTTGTTGGAAGAGGACACTCATCAAGAAGAAGACAGACAACAGCAGCTCCAAGTGAATCTTCCAGTGGAATAGCAAATATACAGGACTTGACTACATTCAGCCATCCCTCCTCTGTGTTAAATTTAGAAAAAATTCATGTTCCTCATGCTTGAAATGACATCATAACAAATAAGAATTTAAGGAAATATAGGGAAATATCCATTTACCTTCTTCCGCCAGAGAATGTAAAATTGTCATGCATTCTGGAGGCTCCATGTTACTTAAAAAAAAAATATGATATTAATAAGTTAGCTTGTATATGAGGATCACCAAGTGATCAAAGTTATCTCTGAGTGAAAGATCATTATTCAAGTCCAAATGGAAGTTAAGAAAAAATATCAATTTGAACAGTGGATATGATAAAAAGCCACAGATTCATCCTTTCAAGTTAACTACAATTTTAGTTACTACAAGAAGACAAGCTGGCAAAAAATTCAAGCTTTGAATGGATTAAAGAAGGGACACAGAAATAATGGCTGATTACCATAACCAACAAAATCACATGAAGCTACATAAGCTACAAAGCCACATAAAGGACCCAGAAAATTTTGAGAATACTTTTTGTTCCTGATAAAGGATTCCATGATCACAAATGGCAAAGATGAATTAAATGCTATTTTGAAAGACTACAAGTACATGACAAATTGACCTTCATAGATTAGGTGCAATATTTGTTAAAAAAGGAAAAGATTTGCCTGTCACCCAATATTTGGTAGTGTAGCTCGCTTGGTAGTAGCAGTCACTCCCTTTCAAGATTTGAATCATTTTTAAGACTTTTTCTTCAGTAAAAACTTTTATTGTGAGTAACCTTTCAAGGTAAATTCATCAGCTGTTACTGATCTTTGTGCAAAGAAGGGTGCATTTGCAGACATTTTTTAGTCTTACATTCAAAACATTTCTTTTCAAGCAATTTCATCAACTTGAGTAATATGCCTTTTTTTATAAACATTGTGTGCTTGAACTTGTTTATTGTTCCTATCAATGAATGAATGTTTCAGAGAGTTTTCAACCTATAATTTGAATTTTAATTCTTAATTTCTATGATTCTTTTTGGTGAAGACAATTTCAAAGCACCAGTAAGGCCATAAATAATTTATATAGCTGCATAGCAAATTTTAAATAAAGAATTTCTTTGCAAATTGGATATCAGAAACACAGTGTTAAATTAACCTCTTGATGAAAATACCGTAGTTGTTTAATGTCTCAAATAACTTCTTCAACCAAGCCTAAGTCTGTTTTTTTTTTTTTTTCAGTCATCAGTTTTAACCCTTCCTTGGGTACAAAACTATTTAGAGGAATTATATTTTGCCAAGTGACAAAAAATTCAGGTCAATTACCTTCTCTTTTTAAGAATAACGTTGCAGTAGCAATTTTGAACACACTGTGCCAATTGGTATACTGGTTGAAAAATTCAAAAGATTACTAAACTACATTGGAAAGCCAACAATGTTGCTGTGAAACTGAAACATATAAAATATATTCTTGGAATTTTAAACAAACAAAAAATAAATTTGAACACATTTGTTCTTCGTCAAGTTTTAATTTGACAGCCTCATCATGTTACTATGGTCTACTGATTGCACTTCATCATCAGGAAGTCGATGCAATAAATTACTATTCGTATGCTGCCATTAAGTCATAAGAAAATACACAAGTAAGTCTTACTTTTCTGCGAGTTTCCTGAGGGCACGGAGTGCATCCAAAACAAGATCATCTGTGTGACTGGAACCACCAGGACTTCTTGAGGCATTTCTTCCGTAATCTACATCATAACTGTCCTGGCGCAGTGGTTCGTGAGTCTTGCAACAGCTAATTCCCATATATAACTACACAATCACCAGCCTCAAATTAAAGTGTATGGGGGTTCACAAAAACATGTGAAAAGCGCAGCATCAGTTGCATTCTTGAAACCCACAAAGATCCCCACTATCGTCCCGGCCCCCTCCGGTAAACAAAATTATCGATATTTAGAGCGCCTTCATACCTTAGCGGTCAGTCAGTCACGCTATTTCAGCGCCCCTAATCTCATTAGTATCCTAATAGCGGTTATTTCAAAGTCTTGTATGCGTTCCTGCCTAATCATGCGCACTTACGTCACACCAAGGAGCCAATCAGCCGCCGTTGCGCTGTTGCGGTGAATATTCTATCCCATAATACTGTTTTACTTTTTAAGCCACTGCATCAAAAGAATGGTAGCCAAATGGCGTCTTCCTTTCTAGAAGACCTATTCGAGAAAGAAGTAGATGAGAAGGAGGTCAGTGCGATGGTGGGATCGCTGGAAAGCCAGCTGGCGTCGACAGCGATCCCTAGATCTCATCATAATGAAGTCAAGGCAACGGTTCCAGTCTCCAAACCTAGTCCTAAACAAAGCATCATGACTAGTAAAACGCCAAATCAATCGAGCCCGATTCAAAGCCAAACGGCGGCTGCCGTTCGACCAGGGATTTCTTCCTCGCCAGCGCTAAATGCGGGTGGTAGCACATCTGTTACTACTGTTGTGAATATTGCTCCACGACCTACGGTTACAACTGCCGTTCCGCTAGCCCCACGACCGGCAACCATGGCTGTTCTTACTCCAAACTCTGGTTTTTCAGCAGCTCCTCAATTCGTTACCACTATGATCAATGCCGATCTTGTTAACCAGAACATGAATTTGATTCCTCAACAAATCGCTTTAGCACCAAGGGCGGTTACGAGTAATGTGACTGTCCAAGGCAATCCTCAAATAATCTCCGGGCCTCGAATCATTCCGCAAATTCAACCACGAGTTACCAACATGACAGTAAGTTCTTTAAGGCCTCAAATTGTACTACAGCGGCAACCGGGAAGCACTGCAATTCAACCCGACAAGAAAATCAACATTGTACCCGTACAAACTCAAATTCGCCCTGTACCAGCGAGTGTAAGTGTATCACAAAATGCAGGAATAAGAACTACTTTAACCCCTATACGACCTCAAATAAGCTCAATACCAGGTGCAATTACTTATAGAATGCCAGTAAGCCAGATTGCTGTTGCAACAACAAACTCTGTTGCTGGTACTGTATCTGCATCTGGTACTGTAACTAAAACTTCGAACACTTCTAATGTGGCAAATGTTGGTTTGCCTGTTAGTAAATCAGTCACAAATAATGCTAATTCCAATCATGCCAAGTCTCCACAAACTTCTAGTACACCACCAGTCAATGCAGCCAATGCAGCAATTATTGAACAAGTAAAAGATCAAGCCCATAAGCTTAAAAACTTCTTCAATAACTTGATAAGACTTGCATCTGATCAAAAATCACCAGATGTTGGTAAGACTGTAAAAGAATTGGTCCAAGGTGTTATGGTAAGTTTAGTCATCTTGTTCCATTCAACTTTTTTTGTTGTTTATTGTTATGTGGTAAATCTGGTGACATATCTGATGCTAGCCTGTCAGTAGACCAGTTATAACTTATGTTGCTGCCAATCACTCCACAACTCAGCAGTTACGCATCATAATTTGGATATATCAACAAAGTTGAAGTGGTAAATTGGCCACCGTAATGATTACAAAAGCTGACGTTGCGAGCGTTAGCCCTTCGTCGGAGTGAATAGAGGAATTGTGGGTTGTGTGTGCTTTTAAAGNTGGATCGCTTAGGTCCCGATATTTTATCAGTGTTGTGAATAAAAGGACACGTTTTGCATCGTGCACGAGCGCATGTTCCCACCAATAACGTAGCTCCATTCTCTGCCTTTAAAAGCACACACAACCCACAATTCCTCTATTCGCTCCGACGAAGGGCTAACGCTCGAAACGTCAGCTTTTGTAATCGTTACGGTGGCCAATTTACCACTTCAACTTTGTTGATATATCTAAATTATTTCTTTACTCCCGCCGACGCAGCCCCAAACAGTTTCTTTCGAAATTATCAGCCTTTATTCAGTCATGCATCATGCTGTCAGTCAAGTGTTTTCAGTCACTAATCCCAAATGCTTAATTTATATTACTATATTATTTAATCTTTTGGATAATGCTCAGTATGAATGATTTGGGTTGGATTTTTTTCACTTTTATCTAGTAGAAAATTGGACTAGATGGGCATATGAAGTTAAGGGTGTAGACAAATAATCCACCAATGGGGTGTCCTACATTACAATAAAAGATATTGTAATGTAGGACACCCTTCGTTACTCTTTCTTGCCTAGTGATTCACGCAAGATGTTTTGTGTTCTCCAAAGAGCGAGATTGGTATGTGATTGATGTATGGGCCCATCAGTAAAGTTTCACCTGAGACATATTGGTTGTATGCAACTACTATCAAAATTTGGAAATTGCAAAGTTTTTGTCCATTTTTCCAGGCAAAAAAAATTGGATTCATTCTGCTGCCACCTGACCCCAAAAATTCCCCTGTGCTTCCCTGGCCCTCCTTTTCAGTTTTCAGTAGCTACAGGTATTTTTTGAACCATTGCTTTACAATCAGGAAATTAGTCGCTAAGGTTTTGCTATATCTTCTCATTCAGGATGGAAAACTCACCGAAGAACAGTTTGCATCAAATCTGCAGACAACACTTAACTCTCCCCCTCAACCAAATCTTGTTGGCTTTTTAAAGGTAAGGCTGGTATCCTTGGTAATAGGCCTACAGTAGTTGCCAAACTGATATTACCTAACTTTGTTTCTTTTATGATCTGATTTTCAGTTTATAACTGAACAAGTCGCAGCTTGCCTAACTTAGACTCAATTGTACATTGTATTTTTCTCTGCAGAAAACACTTCCATTGCTACGAGCGCAGTCAAGATCTCAACCAAATTTACAGCTTTTGCAACATGTCCCACAGGCAATAGCTCAACAGAAGATTCTTCCTCAGCAGCATCCAGGTCAACCAAAAAATACTAGCCCTGCAATTTCAACTTCTGCACAGATACAAAAACATAACTCCCACGTGCAAAAAATCCAAATCGTTCCACAACAACAGATGGTAAAGCAAGTCTTTCTGACACCAGCACAACAGGAACTATTCAGGCAACAACATCCAATTGCTAATACCCAAAGGGTGTTTGTGAAGACTTCAATAGGTACAACTGCTGGTTCTCAGGTTCTTACTAGTGCAAGGAATGTGGTTATGGTACGTGCACCACCAGGATCAACAGCAGCTAAAGTTGTGGCTTCAACAAAAACACAACCAGTAACATTATCAGCTTCAGCAGTTGCTGATAAATTGAAGCCAAAAGGTTTTACTGGAATCAGCAGGTATGATACTCTGTGAGATACAGTGAACTTGAGTTGAGGAGACAACAACATTACTGTTGCTAATGTGTGCTTAATACAGGGCCATCATGCCATGCAGAACAATTACTCTGGGCAATATAGGTTTTAGCAAACCGGGCAAAAATGGGTTTTTTTTTTTTTTACAGCTGGAGAAAGAAGTGACAACAAATAATAATTTGTTAGCTTGTAAACAGGACCACATTTAATAGTTCTCTTACTAATCATGAAACTTTTGAATCAAATTACTTATAATTGGAATTACTTTTTTTATCTAGTGAACACCATCTAACACTGCAATAGATTACAGTTGATGGCAAATCTGTCTTTAGGCTATATGCTAAGTGCTTACTACTTGAAACAAAAGAAATAAAATATTGGTTTCTGGTTCCCTCCCCTGAACACAGATTTCATTGCACCATATGATTCAAAGAATTGTTTGCCACAGCATACAGAACAGTCCAATTATCCAAATGAATATTTTAATTATTTTTGGACGTAAATTTGTGTAACTGTTTCGCTTTGAAGTGGTTCTTCTGAACTTTTTTTTTTTGCAGAGATTCAACTGAAAAATCAATCAGTGTAATGCAGAATCAATGCTGTGCTTTGATTTCAGTCACCTTAACAGAAACTGTGTGGCATTATTGTTTTCATCAATGCAGTGCATCTTCACGAAATGTTTGTAACATGTTGACGGAAGTTTTGTTTTGGGTTTCACATTTGCAGTAGTGGCGATGATGACATAAATGATGTTACCTCAATGGCTGGTGTTAATTTAATGGTGAGTATTTCATATTTCAATGCAGTGCATGGTGGCTGAACTGAATTATATGGTTTATGGTATTGAGATGGCCTGTTACAAGTTATGCAATGTGTATTAAGTTCAATATCGTTTCCCTTTTATCTCTCTACAGGAAGAAAGTCAGCGGATTTTAGCAATAAACTCAGACTTACTCAGCTCTCAAACTAGAAGCTGTAAAGATGAGCCCTTTTTAAATATTTCACCCTTTCAGAAAAGACTAGAGACGTTAGGTCAGTCTTAGAAAAGGCTTATTTTTCTTTATTTACTCATAGTTATAGTCTTCTTATGGTAGAATGACATTGGGCTATGTTGCCAAGAAGTTCTTTACTGCAGAATGTAGCCTGAGAGCAAATTTCACTCCATCTACAACTAGTTGCTCCATTTCATGAGCTACAGGGAGGGGGGATATTTTATTGTACAGGCACAAACTTTGTCATGTGTGTGAACCATCAGATCTGCAGATCAGAAAAGCAGCGAAAGAAATTAGTCTCCATCATTCCTGTCAGCTGTCTTCTCAACAGTGTTTCAGTAAATTTAAGGAGAGGTTATCGTTTCTGGTTTCACGTTGTCCTTCAGTAGCGAATGGGCTAATACTGAGTGTCCAGTGAGGTCTTATACTGCAGTAAAAAACAAAAGAACCGTTTAAAACAAATCTCTGAGATCATCAGGTTGGTGTTGTGGATCGGGCAAAGTTCAGAGATGCGTTTTTAACTGGTTTTTTGTTTTTGCAGTAGTTTAAAGACTCGCTGTAAACTACCAGTAAGGGGAAATCCTTCAATTTATTTTTGATACGTGTTTTGCAGCAAGGAAACGTGGAGTTTCTGATGTATCTCAAGATGTTCTGAACTTAGTCTCACATGCAACACAAGAGCGACTCCGTAATATTTTGGAGAAAGTATCAACTATAAGTTTACATCGACTGGAAGTTTACCGGGTTTGTGAAACTTTGCTGTCGACAAATTCTCTTTTCATTTTATAATCAACTTCTTTTTTTGCTACCGTCTGTCTTCATTTCCTTTACTCTTTTTAATGTTATTAATTTTTTCATTTTCTTTATTGGAAAGTGTCATGAACGCTCCACTGAGCTTCCTTTCAAATGCAAGGATATGTCTTACGGCAAGCCTACTGTGCCCAAACCACTGATTTAAAACCGTTTTTTAGAGCTTTTGATTGGGATGAGACGTGAGGGCCTGGTTAGCAAAGAGGAGGGTGTAGTAGAGATTTGACGGTGAAATAGAATTGGAAAATGAATTGCAATTGGTGAAAGCTTCAATTTCATGTTTTCTCAGTACACCTCTGTACATGCAACTATGAACTCGTCACATTTGAATTGTTCAACATAATGTTAAATTAATTTGGTTATATCAACTAAGTTGAAATTGTAAATTGGCTACCCCAAAGAGTTAAAAAGCTTTCGTTTCGAGCGTTAGCCCTTCGTTACCTTGTTATCCCCACCGACGCAGCACGACAGTTTTATTAGGAACTTACCCCTTTATTCATAATCTCAAATTGTTTCAAAAACAACACGTATGATGATGCATGTTAACTTAATGCAAGCTCTGTCGCATTTAGAAACTTTAAGTCAATGATAGGAGCCAGCGAAAGTTTGCTATTTTGCAGGATGACCCCATGTATGAAGTGGGACTGGACATAAAGTCTCAGCTGCGAGTCTTCGAGCAGATTGATGAGGTGGAGAGAAGGAAACGTGACGCAAGAGAGAGGGATATTCTAATGCGCGCAGTAAAGGTAAGCTGCAGTTGGATTTTCAATCGAATAGTTCTTGTATTTTTTGTGGCTTGTAATAATAATAGTGGAAAGTTCACTCGCCGCAAGATCCTCAAATATCCGCGAATATGTACCTTTCGACAGGCAAACAAGGGCCGCGGATCTGTCGGCCGTAGAACGACTAACTTAAAGAACATTTTAAACTTTTCTCACCAGAGTCGGTCAAAACAAGAAGATCCCGAGCAGGCAAGACTCAAAGAGAAAGCAAAACAGGTACCAACACTTCTCATTTGCTCTTTGTTGGTTATATTTTCAAATAAACGCAAGTAACCTTGAACTGTTTCCCCTTTACTTAGTTACAACAAGAGGAGGAAGAAGTGATCCGGAAACGTGCAGCTAACTCAACGGCGCTGGCAGCCATTGGACCAAGAAAAAAACGAAAACTTGATGAAGCACTAGAAGGTTCATCCACTTCGACGGTAGTAAGTATAAAAAGAACTTCAGTAAAGAAGAAAGTTTACTACTGAGAACTAGTACTACGTGCAGCTGTTTCGTCAAAGAAGATTCAGACATTGTCATTTTGTGAAAGTGTAGTGTGATCGTCCGGGTGAGTGTAGTCCTGAGAAGGTAATTTGGTAATATCAAGTTGAAATTGTAAATTGGCCACCGTTGACTTGATTGGCAGCCTTTGGAAAAGTGGAGAAGCCGCAAGGCAAGTATGAAGATCAAGAGGAAGATACACGATGAGTACATTCTTACGGGTGCGAGACATATGCATTTTAAATGCGCTCGCGCACGATGCAAAACTTGTCGTTTCATTCACAACGCTGAAAAAATAACGGGACCCAAACGATCCATTAAGATCACTGATCATTTCACGTGCACCTCAGCCAACGTCATCTATTGCATAACTTGCACTTATTGCAAAAAGATATACATCGGCGAAACAGGAAGACGACTAGGTGACCGATTCCGAGAACACCTTCGCGACGTAGAAAGGAATGACAAGGACGCATCAAAACCAGTCGCTAGACACTTTAATCTACCTAATCATTCTAAGCAACATTTGGGTGTCTGCGGTCTTTCCTTACATATGGGTAGCTCGGAAAGCCGTAAAAATCTTGAACAAAAGCTCATCTTTCAAACCGGCAGTCTAAATCCCACAAGGATCACCGAACGCTTTTCATTCCACTAATTTATTCTTGTTTTTCTCGTTGCCATGTTCCCACCAATAACGTAGCTTCATTATCTGCCTTTAAAAGTACACACAACCCACAATTCCTCTATTCGCTCTGACGAAGAGCAAACGCTCGAAACGTCAGCTTTTGTAATCGTTACGGTGGCCAATTTACCACTTCAACGTTGTTGATATATCCAAATAATAATAATAAGACATTTATAGAGCGCCCTTTCCCATGGGTCCAAATTACCTTTTTACCCCCACTGACGCAGCACCACAGTTTCTTTAGAAACTTACCCCCCCCCCCTTTAAGCCCTGAGAAGAACTGTCGTTGGTGGGGTGGTGATCTACGTTCGACAACCCGTGCGGAAGTCATCATCAGAGTCAAGTGAATAGTTGTTGTCAGTAGAATGTTCGTAGTCCAGCTCGTGTAAAATGATTGGTGAGTTTTGCCGTGATGTTATTGCCTGCAAGACTCAAGTGGCGTAAGTCAATCGCGACTGACTTACAGTTCTTCTCAGAACTACACTCACCCGGACGATCACACTACACTTTCACATGTTACCCCCGGGTTCAAGCCATTTACTGCATTGTCATTTTGTTGATTGTTACGTAAAGCGAAACGATTTGTTGTAATCACGCGATATAATTTTTCTGGTTTGTTTTTTAGGGCTCCTCTTCGTCTTCTTCGCCATCATCGTCCAGTTTATTGGGAAATCAAAAAGACGTACGACAACAGGTGGGACGGTCCCGAGTGTAAAACATGGAAATTAATAACACGAGTTAATAGCAACTAGGCACAAAAAAAAAAGCACTCAGGCTGTAGTAGTAGACTAATCCGCGAGCTGAGTCTTGACATGAGTTGATATACTTACATTGGCTTGTAATGAAATTGGTTAAAGATACACGTATATATACCCTAATATACCAACGTAATATGGAAAAATACTAATACTAATAATATGGATAGAAAAACCAAACAAGAGCTTGAGAGTTTTGTTTCTGCATTCTAATTTATAAACTTGTCATCCAATATTACGTGAACTTCTGTAAGCAGCTAAAATATATTTCTTACTCCTTTTGTCGCGCCGTGTACTCACTTTGTCGATTGTACACCTTACACGCTCTGATGATTTTCTAACTGGTTTGTATTTACTCTTACTTTATCATTTCTTAGGTCCCTCGACAAAGAATGCGCAGAGTTCTCCTCAAGGATCTAATATATGTTATGGAACAGGAAAAAGAAACGACCAAATCATTATTACTCTATAAGGCGTTACTAAAATAGAAAATATCTTCACGTCAAAATCCGCTTCGATTCTATTCTAGGTCACCTAAAAATTTCTCTTACTGATGAAGTTGTCGCATGACGGTGCTGGCTGCACTTCCTTCTTTTGCGAAAATTGTTGAAAATAGTCAGGGTAAAAACAATTCTTCGTACTCTTAAGTATAACCCTTTTATAAACAGTTGCGCAAACTTTTCAGAAAACTCTTGACCGTGCGAAATAAATAACCGCGCGAAATAACCTTCTCGATTGCAGCCTCTGTGATAATTTTTTTAACGCGGGCTGTGGCCGCGCTGCTGTGTTTTTGTACATTTTTTCTCTTAAACGAAACTTTCCTAAGAGGCGCGTTTTGTTGTGGTTGTAATTAGCTGAGATTTTGTCGTGTAGACTTAGTGTAGGTAGGAAATGATAATATTTGTCTCAAGTTGATGTTTAGGTACAATACGTGACGTGGTTGTTAGAATATTAAAAACGCCAATTTCATTTTTAGCCGTGAGTCTCCTGTTTTTCACTCCCTCTTGTCAAGAGAGGATATAAATCGATAATCTTTTGCTCTAGTTTTTTGTTTTGTTTTGTTTTATCTTCTGTTTTTCACTGAGACTTCTTTTTTTCTGCATACAATTAAATGTATCTTGATATAGAAGCATACCTAAAACTCTACGTCGGGCCGAAACAAACAAAACAGAAAAGAGGGAGTACCAATAATACCACACTTTAGTTGCAACGCACCCCTTCATTTGGTAGTTATTACAAAGAAATACATTTCCCGGGTAGATTTCTTTGTACTCAGCTGGCCAGCTTAGAAGTAATTTTGTTTTTATCAACTGAGTTGATAATGTAAATTGGCCACCGAAGAGAGTTTCAAAGCTACTCCCATAGACACTTACCCCCTCTTTAGACACTTACCCCCTCTTTAGACACTTACCCCCTCTTTAGACACTTACCCCCTTTACTCATTTGGCCAGTTTAAAGTCATGTACTTTTGTAAGATTGCATTATCCACGCAGATTTATCAAATTTGGTATGATCAACCTTGTTCTTGATCGAAACGAATGAACGACTGACTAAAGAACGGTGAAGCTTGACATGAAAATCCAGTAAATGGAAAGAAGAGTTGAGAGGCGACCCTCTGCAGTCTAAGAATCACGCCCCTCTTTGACCAATGAAATGAGCACTTCAACTGAGGTTTGTTCTCGTTTTACAAGAGGTAGAGTATTAATGATATTTTGAGAAAAAGAGCGTGGGCCGACTTCAGTTAGTGGAGAAATTGCATTATAACATAACCAAAATAAAGCGCGCGCTCTGATTGGTCAATTTAGCGTCCCCCATTTGCCCATGGGTGTACGCTGCTGACGTGAGCAAAGACTATTTTTCCGCGCGCGCTTGTTTTTTCTGGTCGCGTAAAAGATTTGTTAAATAAAAGGGAACTCTTTAGCTACAA